TTCCGTGTACTAACGAGTGTTGTCGTACGATCAGGAACTGGCGTCGCACGCGTCGTATAGCGCGACATAACGAACGCATCGATATCCACGGGGAGGACTAGAGACTTTCTATATAGCTTTGGATCTCCTCGTGGCCGAATTATTTATTATTTGTTGTCGTCTTTTAAATGTTTCTTAAAAAGTTGGCGAGTGCCGCGCAGAGAAATGTGCGCTGCTTAGTAAGCAAGTGAACGAAAAGATCCGAGTTCAAAACCATGGCACTGCTGGTTGTTTTCGGATTCTCCCGAAGGGAAGTGGCAACCACCGAGAGTATCTTGCCACACACACCCCTTTAGGGGTATAGCCCTCCAGATGGGAGGTTCCCTTCGGCAAGGTTAGCAGCCTACCGAAGATGAAGTAAGACCAAATGTTCTAAGTACCAGAACGAGAACTGGATAAAACAGGCTTTAAGCCTAATACACGAAGAAGAAATTTTTTTAATGGACAAGCATCCCAAGGAACCAGAGAGGCAAAAAATGTTAGCGGAACGCGTGTGTCTCAGTGATCCTGAAAGGGTTAAAAGCAGGGTTGGGAAGTAACTCGTTACTTGTAACGAAGTTACAATTACAGTTGCTGTTTTTTTTTTTTGTAACTCTAACTTAACTTCGTTACTTTCTCTCCATCTGTAATTATAACTTAACTCAGTTACATTTTTTCGATAACTAGTAGTAACTAATTTAATAGTTACATTAATAGTTACTTTATATATTTTTTAAACCTCCACAGATCGCATTAGGTCTTGCATTTGCACATAAACGTTTTCATCGACACTTAATAATTCAACCGCAGATTTGATATTTTTATTTTCATTGCAAGAAAGTAACTGCAAGGTAACGATTCGTTACTTTTTTAGTAACTGTAACTAGTTACATCTTTAGCGAAAAAACTGTAACTGTAACTAGATACTTTTATAATGTAACTTTTCCAACCCTGGTTAAAATCATATTAGGCAAAATTTGAATTACGAGAAATAACTACGAGAGAGAAGTCCTTGTGTCTTTCTGAATTCCACGGCAAATTCTCTCTCTCTCTCTCAGTAATACCTCCTCAAAACAATATGATTGATGCAAAATGAAGCTCCTTTCTCCAGTTTCTCTGGAAGACATTCCGTCGCGCTTCAAACGCGTTGTTTTGAAACCGCGATGCGGCGAAATGTTTCAAAGCATTCTCCTTTCCGCTCCTTCGCCGCTGTTTCTTCTCCGTCGGGCGCGACGAGGTCCGTCGGCTATTCCTGTGGCCGGTGCCGAGATGGAGGCAGAATGCGCGCGTCCTCGGTGAGCTGCAGCAAAAGGTGACAGGTGCCGAGTGCTTCTATAAATTGCGATCTTGAAAGAGAGAGAGAGAGAGAGGGGGGGGGGCGAGAAAGGGGAAGAAGAAAAGAGAAAGAGAAGGAGTCGCGAAATGACCCCTTCGGCTGCTATCTTTAGCTGGTTTGTGGGCCCTAACCGCTCTCCCTTCGAAACACGTGCGACGTTAAGACGCCGCCTCTGCATTCGTAAATATCATCGATGTCTTGCATTCGATAGACTTCGAGACTGGGACCCGACTCGCAAAAGTGCGCGCGAGAGGTAAAACTTCAATACGATAAGAAGAACGTACAAAGGTCCTGTTTTCCTCGCGGAAAATGCAAGGGAGGGTGTCCGCGCAACGAGACAGACGCGACCGCCTGACCTGCGAAAACGAACTGGATATCTCGTTCGGGAGGTGAAGGTCTCTGGAGTGTCCCGTAGCTCAATGAATTTTCGTTGGCACCATCGGCCGGGTTGGAATCACGCAAGTGTATCGATTATGAATGAGTCTCCAGGTCCATTCAGTTTGAACGTGACCCAGCGTCTCGGAGCCTTGGTCCATCCTCGGCTCGTCTAGAAGCCTGGCTACTTTCATTCTGCGACGCTCGCTTACCCTCAAGCCGCTGTTGCGACCTCGAAATGTGTGCGACGGAAACGGAACGTTGATATTGCACTGAATCGACGTCTAGAACGGCACCAAGTCGAAACATGTACAAGCTAGAGCTTGCTTATTCGTCGTGTCTGGGATTTTTACAATTTCAGCTCCTTTTACTTGTCCCGTCGACACGTCCATGATAAATTCCCAACAATTTAACGTTGTTTTCGCGTGCAGTTAGATTCTAATTTGCAGGCGCAGGCGACAAACGGGAACGAAACACCGCGGTAACGTAACAAGAAGAAAAATTCGCGAAGAGATCTCTCGCGAGGTCTCGATCGCGACCTAAGTGTACTATTTGCTCCCGTTGCTCGTGGCAGGAGAGGTGCGTGCGAAGATTAACATCGCGCGCTGCGGATACCCAACCGTGCGTAGAGTCCACCACTGGTGCGACCCCCCTCGCCCGCGTCTTCGCTTCCGCGCCCCGTTCGCGGCTCCGACCATCGTAACTATTTCCAGACGCATTTAATTAATCTTGAACCAAAAACGTCGAGTAGGAAAATGGCGGACGGACGGTCGGTTAGACTCGGGTATCGGCCACCTGGCAGAAATAGCAGCCATGGAAACGGCCCAGCCGACTTGACATTTCCTTCGTGCGTGCGCGAGCGTGAGAGAAATGAGGCGATCGAGCGACGATTGGAGAAAGAGAGGAGCAGACGAGAGCAACGGAGAAATAAAACAGGGTAGACTTGGCACCTGCCGGCCGCTGTCTCGTCACCGACGTTTTCGACTTCCTCGAGCCCGTCCGATTCCTATGATTTTCCAATAGTCTGCTTAATGTACAACATTGTTAAAGTAAAATTCGACTCAACAAGCCTCTTCATGACTTGTCCATTTTTTTACTTAATTTATGATCCATATTCATTCCGTTTCTCGATATTTACGACGGTAAAATTATTTCTTTTGAATGTACAGATATATTTAAAATTAATTATTCATTTCCTCGCGAGCTTTCGATGTAGGATTGTAGGGAGATACGCCCGCTCTCGTTTCCTCGCCGTAGATGTTTCGCGGAGAGCTTGCCAGGTCCAGCGCGCGGGATCTCCACTCTCTTAATTCGCCAGGTCAACGGATATCCGTAGGCGCGCGCGTTTCCGAAAAGTGGCCGACTCTCTCGCCGCTAATAATAACCCTCCCGAGACCTCGTATCCAAGTCCCGTATCCACATACAGGCCGGACTTGTATTTCGCGGTGCCCGGAAACCGATTCCGAAATATCCCGGCCGAGATCGCGGAAGCATTAAAAGAATAATCCGGCGATCCACTCTCGGGCCGGAGGCAGAACGCTGGCGTCGAAATCTCCGCCCACGAGAAAACGTGTCCGATGCCAAAAACACGGGATCGGTTTTGTGGCTCGCGCCCGCGACGGTGATTGTTGACTGATCGGGCTTCCCGTGTGGATCGGATGGACGCGTTTCCGGCGGCGCCTCGTTAACAACGCCGAGAAAATTTCCAGCGAGCGCGGGCAAGGGCTTTGCTATCGATAAATCTTAACGAGGCTTCGCGAAATTTCATGAATGTTAAATTGATTTCAATTTAATACAATCTCGATATAATTGATGTTCGCTACGTCAAGTATATCAATTAAAATCACCGTAGGCCGACTTAATGCCGTCATGATACTACAACTTTGTGGCCACTATCCGTCAAAAGAGACGGGATGAATCCGCAATTTCTAGTCCAACGCTATGCTGTATTGGCCGATATGTAATTAGTAGCCTAATTTCCTGCCGAGGCGTATAACGCACCGAGGTAGCAAACCGGTGGCTGCCGAGAGATTTTATCGAAACAAATCACGTCGATTTGCTACATCGTTACATGCAAGAGTTTAATTGCCTAGGTCCCCTATTAGAATCGAGATTACGCCGCGCCGCTGAACTATCGCACGGGCATCGGCTACGAAAAAAATAATTAACGTGAAAAATGAAGATGCGGCGTGTCCGAGTACGCTTAATCCCGCGCGTGAGTGGCACGGCGCGTTGAGATAAGCCGCCTCGGTGCGGTTGCAAGGAGCGCGAGACGATAAGAACGGCCGATAACAACGCGAGCGCCTTGTCTTCCCGCGCTTGTTCTCAATGCAGCCGGACACCATGAAATTTCCTATCCTCTTCAACATCATACTCATCGTTGCCGCGCATCCTCCGCGTGCTTAATTGTAGCGACTTACAAACGAGGCAAAATGAGAGAACATTGTTGATTTTATAACGTCAGTATTTTCTTGACCATACCTCGCATCTTTAATAATACAGAAAATTTATTGCGAAAAATATTACCTCAGCCAGGGTTTGAACGTGGACCTCCCTACACTCTAGGCGGGCGTCTCGCCACTTCGACCACCGAGGTATATGATAAATAATATATTTGTCGCAATAACAGTATAAAGATGTTGTCTACGTGTCTATTTCGACTTTTGTGAACTGCGCGCCGATAAGGGTTGTACGCAGAACTGTCGTTTTTAAGTTTTCCCTCCCCCTATCCCCCTTTCCCAATTGCGTTGGAAACACCATGTTTTAGGTCAATGGTGAATAATCAACTAATAAGAATTCTTCAATGTCGCCAGCGATAATTAACGTCAGTATTTTTTTGCCATACCTGGCATCTTTAATAATACAGAAAATTTATTGCGAAAAAAATTACCTCGGCCAGAGTGAAAGTTTCTGTATTATTGAAGTTGCCAGGTATGGTCAAAAAAATACTGACGTTAATTATCGCTGGCGACATTGAAGAAGTCTTATTGGTTGATTGATGATTTTAGTTGCAGAGAAACCCCGCGATCCACGATCGACGCTGAATTTAATTCGTAATGGTCCTTTGTAAAGTATTTTTTACCATTTCGATGCAACGGAGTCGACTAATCGATTGTGTGAAAAAATTCGATCACGTCATACACGACTCGATAACGTGACAGACAGAAATGAACGCATCTGCCGATCGCGGCGGGTTGCTGGAAAATCCCGAGGAAAAATTTTCGATTTGTTCCGGAAGCGCGTATACCAAAATGCGCGCAAAGCACTTTTGATGTCACACGTCGAGAACGCAGAGTCTAAAAATGGCAGCCGACGTACGAATGAGATAGGTTAGCGCTAATTTCTCGCCAGACAAACGTCTGATATTTTGCGCAAGGTTAACTAGAGATTAAGGCTGATGGCAGACAACTATCCGTAAGCGCTTAAGACTGACGTAGTCGTAGACTTAAGGTAAGGCAGAGAAAAACGTAAGCCGTGGAACACGTGTTCCTTACGTTTTTCTCTGCCTTATCTTAAGTCTACGACTACGTCAGTCTTAAGCGCTTACGGATAGTTGTCTGCCATCAGCCTTACGCACACAATTTAAATCGTATTTAGTAATAAACAAATTGAAAGTTTAAGATTTCTTTGAATTTTCTAACTCGTGTTATTTTCCAAAAAATACATTACACGTTTGATTAAAGATCTGTTAAAGATGCATATGTAATATTTGACATACGTGCACATTCATTAGTGGCAAGCGACCGCGAGAAATCCGACGCGCAAGTAAGCCCGGAAAGTTCCGTTAAGGAAGAAATTCAGGAAGTGCCGAAATCGAGTCGCGTGTTGGACAACGCGAGAGCTCATCCAGAAACGGAGGAAAATGACAATACGAAATTACAAAACAAGGATGGTACTTATTAAACAAACTCCGAGTCTCTGTTACATATCGGAGGAAACAATTGGAACATTAGTGACATATAACCGTTAAGACATTGTCTGTAAGACAATTCTGAAGTAAATGACATGACATCCGGATAAAATAATTTCAGACGCGTGCATTGCCTCCGGCGATATTTGTAGAATCTGTCACATGGGCGGACACGCTCCAATCGCGGAAAACCATTCGTCGTGTGACTCGCGCGATCAGGACGGTCAGACTTTGACGCCGTCGAACGTCGTCTATCTCGGCCCTTTGATCTCGGCCTGCAAGTAAGTTCTCGGCTCGTTCGAGTAAGTCAAGATGACATTTACCGAACGTATCGATGAGCGTTTATAGATCATATACGTGACTGTTATGACGTTCTATTCGAAAAAAAGATTACGACTTGTCCAAGTCGACGACGTGTCAAATGTGTGAAATTAAATGTAAATTACGCCTGAGAACCGATATTAGTTGCGAGGAAACAAAATCGTGATCGAAACGAAAGGAATGTCGCTCCGAGTGACGCGCGAGTAGACGCGTAAATCGGCAGATTATCGCGGACGATACAGAAATCGGGCGATAAGGGACTAGCTTAGTTAAGAAAGGAAGCTGTCCTTCCTTATACAGCGTTTAATGGCACGACAGATGCCGGGGTACGGTGGCCCTGGTGCACGCCGAGTGCCTCGAGAGATGGCTAACCGAGTCCGGTCGCGCGAGATGCGAACTCTGCCGCTACAAGTACGCGATCAGGAGGGTACGACGTTACAGCCTCCTTCGTAGCGTCGTAATATGGTTCCACACCGTGATAGCCACTCGACAGGTGAGAGGGAGAGAGAGAAAGATCATTAACTCTAGTTTTCCCGCCGCTTCCATTCCGTTTGAAAGCGCCAGGCAAAGCATCTTTAATTAATTTCTTGAGTGGCACACGCTTTCATTACCGTGCAGAATGTATATTGCATTTTTCGACGGTTCCTGGGCTATCGAGCTAGAAAATATTGCGTCTACACGGGATATTATCGCGGTAACGACACGGTGTCATGTGAAATTGAAATTATCTTGCACGTTGATACAACATCTAATGTAGGATATCGCCTGAGCCTCGTTCTCCGTGTAATTAGACTTTTAATTGCTATTAATTATCCCCATATACTTAATACGTTCTCTCTCGCGAGGAGATGCTACTCGACATCGGCTATTTGGTGATGACCACGCCCGTGGCTGCGTTTTCCTGCTACGTATGCGCCTTGGCCTTGAAAATGTTGTTGCGAAACGGCTTTTACGAGATACCCTGGATGATAGTGGCTATGCTGCCAACCTGCTTATTGACGCTGATAGCTTATTGGCGATGGATAATTACGTTAGGGAGGTAAGCCGTTAAGCTTAAAACAGCCCGCGCTCGTGCGCGGATAAAAACAGTCGTTAATGCAAAATGAGTTAATTAAGATATTACACACGCGCAATTATGTACCTAATTATAAAAAATTTGGGGAGCCGCGGTAGGAATCGAAATTGATCTCGTTGGGGAAAAGTAATTGAAGAGTAATATATTCGTCGCAGACATCAGGGAAAATAATTATGTAAACCGATAATATGCCCTCTTCACGCTACAGATTGCACGGCCATCGATGGAGGCGCTACTGGAGAAACAACTACGTGGTTCGTTTGATTCCCGATAACGACGTCGCGGACAACATCGGTCCGCGAAGATCGAGCGGTCGCTTCGACGCGCAAGACGATTTCGAACAATGGAGAATCGAGGAGATCGAAGAGCTCGCGTGACTTCTGATCGTGTCGGCCGCGAGTCAGGAGTAACCTTTTAATTACGACAACCGTTTTCTATTTTTACGCCCGTCCCGGTCTCATCGTCGGAACCTTCATACAGCTGCACTATATTTAATTGCATTTTATTAACTGGACACTTCAATTGAAGCTCGTTGCTGCGTAACGAAGACGGTTCGCTGCATCAGAGTTAAATTAAAATGCGCGCGGTCCGACTCGGAACGCTTCCGGAAATACACACGTGATTTTATATAGTATTCTTTGAATATCTTGTATTTTTCTATGATTGTAGCGCTTGATTAAAATAATTTGAAGATTACTGGCGCTGACAATCTTGTTAAAGTCCGGCAACATTTTTCGTTCCCAATAATTATATAGAAGCTTTGCGATCCCGCTCTCTTGCGGATGTAAATAATGTACGAGATATTTTTACACGGACAACATGAATTCGGGATAAAAGCAGACGCGGAAGAACACGGGAGAACGAGTCGAGTGAATAAACCTGCTCCCCGGACGACTGTCGTGTAAAATCCTGTTGGATCTCACTTTCGTTTTATCGAGAGTGATCGTCCGTACGCGGCCATATCATTTATGTATGTCTCGCACAGTGAAAAAGGACTAAATTCATTAATGGACATGTTGCCGCCTCCTGCTCGTCGTGTCGTAAGATTCTCAAAGCGGACTTCTGAATCATCGCAAACGTCGCAGTCTTGTCGCCGTTTCCTCGTTGCAACGACCTCATCGTGTCCGAAAATATCGATAAGTCGTCTTAAATTTAACCATTATTGATATTTGTTGCGACTTATTTACATTATCTTAGCGGACAAAATTAACCGGATATATTAAGATTCTTGAGTAAGTTCGAAATACCTCTGGTGCCTATCTTTTTTCTTTGTGAAAGATATGATAGTTTGTTATTTCAATATAAAAAAAACTGCTTTTCAAAGTCGCAATTATTTTTCACGCCTCCGCTCAAATAACGAGTCAAAGGATTATCGTAAACAAAAAAAAAGGAATGACAAAAATCGATGGCTTATGTTCTTGTTCGAGAAATGTTCAGATAAAATCGAAACGACGAGTATTCCACGCGGTCGTAGATTCGACGAGTACGATTCCGCGAAGGAAACGCCGTGATAATAATCAGCGGTGTAATCGAATTCGCCGAAATTTTCGGCATTTAAATCGGCCGTTTGTTCGACTGTTCTCCAACGACCGCTAGAATTGATCCCTTAACGAGCCCGGTTCTATCGCTTGACGTCATTAAGTCAAACGATTTAATTAGCGCGACGCTGATCGATACTTTCACCACTTCATACTCCTTTTATTTCGGGGGCGTATCCGATATACACTCGCTGGGCAGAATTTCCTCCCTTAAAAATAGGAATCTCGATCAATGCCGGCAGTTTGCCGATCGATTACCATTATCGACGATGGTTTTAGCGATAACGGGGCGTCTACCACGACTAGGTGATTTCATTGAAACGATTTTACTAGATAATCTGGCCTCGAATCGCGGAAAATTGATAAAAGCCGCGATACATCGTTTTCATTAATACGCATGAACCTAATCGACTTTGTTGCTATCCGATAATGAGAACCGCTGCTCGAATCCCTAGAACGACCTGCTGCTGTGCATGTAGTTTACATTTTAATGCGCGATAATGACCGGCAACGTCGTCTGGCATGCGCCGTCGTTGATTCATGACGGGATAATTATGCTCGTCTGAGTTTTCGAGCTTCTCGCTCGAGGTAAATTCTCGTATGTACAAAAGTCGCGCTAATTCTCATCGGTACATAAACATGAGAATGAGATTAAATTGTCGAGGCAGAATTCACACAGATCAGTGAATTTGATAAATTTTAACAATTCCTGCGCTACTTCTTCTATTTCGATTTATGATCGATCTACGCTCGATTAATCGCTCTCGGCTTGCTGCTAGGATCGTCGGAACTTGTCTGTTTACGAGGAAGAAATGAATCTTTTATGCATCCCTGCGGATGCATCCGGTTCTTCCAGATTCTACGGAGCGAACCCCTCGCGCCTCGCGCCACGCGGGGCACGCGGAACCCCTCGTGCGCTGCTCCTAGGCTCGGAAATAAAAAAAAACGAGGGGGAGGATTCGAAAAGGATACCGCCGGCGAGCAGCGCGTTATGGTAAATCCTTTCCCGCTCTCGCGACAAAAAGTAATATTTATGCGGCGGATATTTGTCTCGCTGACAAGACGGTTCTCTCACCGGTGAATTTACTACGGACCTGCAGCCCCTAAATTTCGATCCACGCGGGTGATAAATGAGAATTTTTCCGAGAAAACGTTAGCTCCAAGTCGCCGAGGAATCAATCATTCACACGGATCCATAAATTATGGAAGAGCTGCGTTGTAAAATAATTATAATAGCTCCGTTACACTTGTTCACTATACGCGCATAATGTACCTTTCAACATTCCATGAGAAACCATAAATCTTTCATCTAATCAGTAAAAGTATCGTATGTCTTTTTTTCGATTGGCTAAACTCAAATTTTATTCAAATGAATCATTTGAATATTAACTAGAAATGACAAAACGCGCGCTTCGCGGGCGCAGTTTGTAGTCGAGCATTGTATATTTGTAAGAACTTGTATACATGCAAAGAAGTAATTGTATGCGCAACCTCAATTTAAAATAAAAAGTACTTTGTCACTCACTGATACGATTTGCAACAGCAGAGTGGTACATCGTCAACTGCATTAAACTGTAAAAATACAAATATGTACATGATTATTATAGACTAATTATGTAAAATCGAAATTATTGTATTAAATATACTTCATATTTTATATTTAAAAAACAGGTATTTATTATAAGAATTATATAGAATACTGAAAAAGTCTTCCTTTTAAATATAATCTCACAAAATTTATACGTATGGTTTTGTCTCTAACACTTATTCGAATCCTCGTTAGAATCATTTGAATAAATAAAATAAAAACACAGAACAGATACTTTATTTTGCACAAGTAGCAAATAACAGAAAAATGTAAGACACTCACCTCACCGATTTCTCCGTTGTTGCCCGATGCCCCCTGGGCCTCCTCCTCCTCCTTTCAGATTTCCTTGTGGCACTTACACAACACTCACTCGCAAAAATTACAGATCGCGCGAAACGAGCACTCCTGTACGCGATGTGAGATACCGCAAAACGCACGAAATATTGAAGAACGACAGAGCGAATTACAGCGCGAACGCCGAAATCGCACAAATTTCTCTCTTTTCCCGAAAATAGACCGGATTACACGAAATCGATAGATAATTAAAAGCGCGGTGCGTAAACGAGATGTAACCGCGACAAAGTACCGCGGTTTACATTCATATTTTAGATGAGTTAGTCTCGTGAAATATCTATGATAAAGAGCCGTCGCCTCAACATGCGATTCGTTTCTCATTACAAGTAGAAACATAATAATTAATCGAGGAACGTTACTTGTTACTGATAGAGGTGTACAAATCGATAGCGTTTTATCCCTACATTCGTCGCGATCGAGTCGTGGAAACCGATAACGCAAAAGTAATACCACGCACGGAGCGACTCTCGCCACTGCCTGCCGGCACGACGTTCGGCGAGCGATTAATATCGCGGCGACCTTCAGGTAAACATTGGCCCGCGTAACGTCGTACGTTACCGCGCCGAGTGAAAAACAAAAAAACGTTGAGAATTCGTTGGCCTGCCTACGCAATGGAAAATTCCGTACTTAATATTTTATTGTACATTACTTTGTTCCGTGACTGTTGCTACGTTTTGCGTATTATTCCGCGGACTTATTGGTATTGATTAAATTAACGATTAATTCTGTTCAATCGAGAAAATGTTTCGAGACAAAAATCGTTGTTACTTTAATTCTAATTACTAAGATTAGAGATTTTACCTCAATAGTTGGTGTATACAAATGTATATTACTAAATTGCAGATCTTCATTTATTATGAGCAAAAATTATCGAATTATTTACTTTAATAATAATATAAATCGGTATTAAATACTTTATTGGAAATAGCGTTGCGCGCGCTATTTCGTTTTAATTTATATTTATTCACGATCTTCTTCGCACATTAAGATTCTTCTCATGTGAAGAAGACGTAGGTAATCTGACGTTGACACTCTGTCAAAATACATATTACATGACTTTCGCACTGACAGCTACTCGCAGTACAAAGCCAAGCGAGAAAATCAGCATCGCGGAACAGCGTTATTAATAATTAAACATCGTATATACCTTTTTAAAAAGATCAGTTACCGTTGTATCTCATTGGAAGAATGTGAATTTCTTTCATTCTTCTTCACTCAATTAGACATTTAACTTTAACTTCATTTTCTTTAACTTTTTGTTTAATCTCTAACTTTCTCTAAGTATATTTTTGCACAACTGTCAAAATTCACATGCGAGCTGAAACATGACACGAATCTAAAAGAGAAGTGAATCACACCGCGCTTCGAGAAAATCAATCGGCATCGCGGAAAAGAGGCCTCAATGTTCGATATTAATGACATTCGCGCTGGTAACATCTCTTTTTTAGAAAGGGAGAATCTGGATGTTTATACGTTTGTAATAATTAAGATTGTTTTAACAGACTGTTTTAGCGTATTAACATCGCAAATGCGTTTAAGCTTGCTCTCCGAGAACCTATTTATTTCAGATAAAACCCTACATTTCGCATCGCGAAAGATAACGTAACCTCGAGATCCGACTCGGTGCGATAGTTTAATCGCCACGAAAAAAATCAATCGAGTCAAGTATACTTGTCTTCATTTTGCACGAAGATTAAAAAAGAGAAAGAAGTCGAGCTGGAGGCGTTGCTAAACTGTTCTCTCCTCTTAGCGAGGAACATTATCGCGTTGCGTAATTACAATCTCGGCTTATCGGCTGCACGCTCGTTTACATGCTCTTTAAAGCTGTAACAAATTGCGCGTATCGTAAAATCGTAAAATGCACGCGGTCGTAACTTCGGCACTTGATTTTCAGGCATCT